TTGTATTGTACAGTATATTGTATTGTACAGTATATTGTATTGTAAAGCATATTGTATTGTACAGTATATTGTATTGTACAGTATATATTGATATCCTCACACTTTAACTCTAGGACATAACGGGGTTCAACCAAGCCATCACGAATGGTCACTTGGACGTGGTATACTCGGTGCTCATGCATTCGTTGGACATCGAAGGCGGCCTCGTACGGTTTATTCCTATTAAAAACTACAATGTTTTTAATATTGTTATTAAAAACAACAATGTTCCTGGAAAAAAGGAGATTAACAGTTAATCCCATTTGTTGTAGGACATCCGAGTGGGGGGCTTCACCACGGCGTGTCAAGTGGGCGAGAAGGACATCGCGACGCTAATTTTGTCGAGTGAGCACGGCATCACCGCCGACCACGTCAACTACGTATGTGGTTTAGTTGGTCTAGTAGGTCTAGTTGGTTTAGTTAACTTGAGTGTGACAGGGTTTCCACGAAGCGTGTTTGAATGGCCACTTGGACGTGGTGCAGCACTTGGTCCAACACTGCGGCGTGGACGTCAACTATGGCGTACCGCTCAACGACGAGAATGAAAATGAAAAGGACATGTTTCCGGTATACTATTATATATTTGAATATCTACACGTTTGGACAGATTCTAAATTTCTATGGATATACATATATACATTTACAGACGGATTTATACATAACGTTAAATACATAATATATATATCCGTCTGTATATATATTAAATTTGAGTATATGTATATATATATACATATACTCAAATTTAATATACAATACATAGATATTATATATATAGTATTGGGTATATACGGTTTCAATGGATTCATGGATAAGGTGGATTATTATGCTAGATATAACTAGACTGATTGATTGATATATATAATATGGATATATATATAGGCAACTAAATGATTGATATTTTATTTGAAAATGGAAATATACATTTATTTCTTCTTGCAATCGATTATCGAGATTTACAATGTGATGCATAGCACGGTGTGTCGTCGTTCTACTTGGCGTGCCAGAGCGACCACGCCGAAGTCGTCCGGTTCCTTCTGTCGCTGCCGCAATTGGACCCCCGTCAGCTGTGCAACGTACTAATTGCATCACTTTAGTGCCACTTTTACCATCAGAATTAGGCACTTTGTGCTGCACAAGACATGGACATTGTCGAGATGGTGCTGGCCCATCCCCACTTTAACATCAACAGCGACGTGGTACTCGAATACCTCTATAAAGGCATATATTTACGACCAAAA